ATACATTCAGCATTGCATTTGCCCGTCGCCCAATCAGGTGTCTTTGAAACGTTGCCATGCCTTACATTTCTGTACTCCTGTCCGGGTTCGTGGGTCGATCATCTTTGGATTCGGGGTTTAACGTCGTTTTTAAATGAGTGGGGGTGGCGGAGTTTTTCCCCATATGTTCGGCGTTGTTCGTGGAGCGTTCAGAGTTGGTCGGATATCGAGTTGTCGCTTTTCCACCGACGACCGCACACCCGCACTTGGCATTGTATGGAAAGCGTGACGTTCCCACACCAAAAGTCAATGGACGTCTTGAAGCCTGTGGGGTTGGGTTTCTCGTTTAAGTTTTTTTTTGGACTGGCCTGGAGTCTGTAGCGCGGCAGTTCCCTCCGCAACCCTGGAGGGGACTAAGCCCTTCGGGATTCACTCTCCCTTTTTCGGCGTGCTTCTCCGAGGCGGCCTCCGAGGATGTTCTAAGTGCAGGTAATGGGCCATTCCCGCTCCGAACGTTTAGTTTTATATGTATGCCCTTGGTTGAGTCAGTGACCAGATGGGGGAGGGAGCCAGACCACCGAACCGGCCTATCTGCGTCGCGAGCGTGGTCCTGGTGCCGCTATGGTGGGCCCGTGCGGGATGCAGACTTGCCCCAAGGTACCGCCTTCCCACCCAGCTGACCGTCAGTGCGCTGCACGCCTTCGGAACAGTCATCTTCTGGGCGGACGAGCTCGTGCCAGGGTACATGAACTGGTTCGCGAGGGCTGTTGGGAGAAGGGAGCCTCGTCAGGCAGGGCCGCAGACGAAGGGCTGATGTTTGTTTCTTTGTGTGCGCGCGTGCCTACACCCATGTGCGTGTGTCTGTGTGTGTGCGAGTGACTGTGTGTACGTGTATGAAGGCGCGCGCGCTTTGCTGTTTTCCGATCTTATGCACCCTGTCGCCGCGCGCAGGGCCGCGAGTCCAAATAAATGGTGTGTGCTTGTGTGCAGACGTACATGCTATAATGAATTCACTTGCGCCGTTGTACTCGTCGGAAGTCGCGCTTAAAGAGTAGCTTTGAAGGGTTGTCGTGCTCCTTTGCTTGTCGGGGACATCTGCAAGATCGATAGCTTTCGACGGCCTGTCCGGGCCCGCCAGGTGGCGCTAAGGGGCGGTTCCGTCTTGACGGATGTGTGTCCGTGCAGGGTAGGTGTTGTGGTTATTTGGGAGAGTCGCACTGCCGTGCGGTCTTGGTTCGAGGCCGTCTTTTGGCTGTCTCCAGGCGTTGGTGGCCAGTCTCTGGTCCATATTTGTGATGGTTTGGCTGTTTTTCCCAACCCTCCTGCGTTGGGTTCTCGTTTTGAAAAGAGCACTGCTCGCGCGTCTCCTTCCTTCCTTCCCGTCCCTCTCTTCCCCCCTGCCTTGGACCTCGCCATCCCTGGGGGCCTGCGATGTGTGAAACTGTCGCCACTTTCGAGGGCTGCTGAGGGGTACAGCACAGTGGGTACACACCACAGATTCAAATTAGACCTCGCCATCCCTGGGGGGGCTGCGATCTGTGAAACTGTCGCCACTTTCGAGGGCTGCTGAGGGGCACAGCACAGTGGGTACACAACGCAGACTCAAATTAGACCTCGCCATCCCTGGGGGGCTGCAATCTGTGAAACCGCCGCCATTTTCGAGGGCTGCTGAGGGGCCCAGCACAGTGGGTACACACCGCAGACTCAAATTAGACCTCGCCGTCCATGGGGGGCTGCGATCTGTGAAACTGTCGCCACTTTCGAGGGCTGCTGAGGGGCACAGCACAGTGGGTACCCACCGCAGACTCAAATTAGACCTCGCCATCCCTGGGGGGGGGGGGGGGGCTGCGATCTGTGAAACCGTCGCCACTTCGAGGGCTGCTCAGGGGCACAACGCAGTGGGTACCCACCGCAGACTCAAATTAGACCTCTCCATCCCTGGGGGCTGCGATCTGTGAAACTGTCGCCACTTTCGAAGGGTGCTGAGGGGCCCGACACAGTGGGTACCCACCGCAGTCTCAAATTAGACCTCGCCATCCCTGGGGGGCTGCGATCTGTGAAACTGTCGCCACTTTCGAAGGCTGCTGAGGGGCCCAACACAGTGGGTACCCACCGCAGACTCAAATTAGACCTCGCCATCCCTGGGGGGCTGCGATCTGTGAAACTGTCGCCACTGTCGAGGGCTGCTGAGGGGCCCAGCACAGTGGGTACACACCGCAGACTCAAATTAGACCGGGGGGGCTGCGATCTGTGAAACTGTCGCCACTTTCGAGGGCTGCGCACAGTGGGTACTCAATTAGACCTCGCCATCCCTGGGGGGCTGCGATCTGTGAAACTGTCGCCACTTTCGAGGGCTGCTGAGGGGCCCAGCACAGTGGGTACCCACCGCAGACTCAAATTAGACCTCGCCATCCCTGGGGGGCTGCGATCTGTGAAACTGTCGCCACTTTCGAGGGCTGCTGAGGGGCCCAGCACAGTGGGTACCCACCGCAGACTCAAATTAGACCTCGCCATCCCTGGGGGGCTGCGATCTGTGAAACTGTCGCCACTTTCGAGGGCTGCTGGGGGGCCCAGCACAGTGGGTACCCACCGCAGACTCAAATTAGACCTCGCCATCCCTGGGGGGCTGCGATCTGTGAAACTGTCGCCACTTTCGAGGCTGCTGAGGGGCCCAGCACAGTGGGTACCCACCGCAGACTCAAATTAGACCTCGCCATCCCTGGGGGGCTGCGATCTGTGAAACTGTCGCCACTTTCGAGGGCTGCTGAGGGGCCCAGCACAGTGGGTACCCACCGCAGACTCAAATTAGACCTCGCCATCCCTGGGGGGCTGCGATCTGTGAACTGTCGCCACTTTCGAGGGGGCTGAGGGGCCCAGCACAGTGGGTACCACCGCAGACTCAAATTTGACCTCGCCATCCCTGGGGGGCTGCGATCTGTGAAACTGTCGCCACTTTCGAGGGCTGCTGGGGGGCCCAGCACAGTGGGTACCCACCGCAGATTCAAATTCGACCTCGCCATCCCTGGGGGGCTGCGATCTGTGAAACTGTCGCCACTTTCGAGGCCTGCTGGGGGGCCCAGCACAGTGGGTACCCACCGCAGACTCAAATTAGACCTCGCCATCCCTGGGGGGCTGCGATCTGTGAAACTGTCGCCACTTTCGAGGCCTGCTGGGGGGCCCAGCACAGTGGGTACCCACCGCGACTCAAATTAGACCTCGCCATCCCTGGGGGGCTGCGATCTGTGAAACTGTCGCCACTTTCGAGGCCTGCTGGGGGGCCCAGCACAGTGGGTACCCACCGCGGACTCAAATTAGACCTCGCCATCCCTGGGGGGCTGCGATCTGTGAAACTGTCGCCACTTTCGAGGGCTGCTGGGGGGCCCAGCACAGTGGCCCCACGCAGACTCAAATTAGACCTCGCCATCCCTGGGGGGCTGCGATCTGTGAAACTGTCGCCACTTTCGAGGGCTGCTGAGGGGCCCAGCACAGTGGGTACCCACCGCAGATTCAAATTAGACCTCGCCATCCCTAGGGGGCTGCGATCTGTGAAACTGTCGCCACTTTCGAGGGCTGCTGAGGGGCACAGCACAGTGGGTACCCACCGCAGACTCAAATTAGACGCCGCTTTCGTCCTTGTTCTCATCCTGCAGTCACCTTCCCACTGCTGCTGCCGTGCTGATGGTTCGGCTTCCCGCACGTTTTTCTCCTGCTCTGCGTTCCCGACTCCCCATGTCCTCTTCGAGCCTGTAGCTGTCGCCCCTCGTTCTTGTATGGTTCTCCTGCGCATCGTGCCATAGGCGCGTGTCCCAAGTAGCTTACACATCAAATTGATTGTCCATGCAAGTTTCGGCCAACTCCTCGTTTCCATTGATACAAATGGGTTGGGTACGTCACAGGGTAATTTTTTGGGGGGGGGCTGCCAGAGGCTTCAAGGACACATCTTGGCTGGTGAAGAATGAGGACGTTGTCTTGGGCCGTCCGAGTGCAACCTGAAGTCTAGCAGGATGCCATCCCGTGGAGGCAGAGGAGGTGGAGTCGGAAAGGACGCCGTTGCTTCCTAGCTCCCGGGAAGCATATGGCGGCTCTGGTGGGAGGTGATGCCGAGTATTGTTCCATGGCCTGGGGTAGCGCGCGCTCAGCAGCATTATGTCCTCGCTCTCAGGAATAAGTACCTCCACCTTTCCTCGCGAACGCGTTCTCAGACATATCTGGCATGTGCACACCACAAAATCGAAGCACCTGGGCTCGGCTCAGAGGCCACACCATCCCTCCCCTCCTCCTCGAACCTTTTGGAAAGCTCCAGGACCCTGAGGGCCACCCAAATTGCTGTGGCATGAGTTCCTCAGGACTCTGTGGTGCAGAGGTGGGTAGCTCATTGGAACTGTCACCAGCGCCGTGGTCCGCCTGTTGCTCCTGTTGCCCCCCCCGCCGCCACGGGCCCCAGGACCCGGTCGTCTGTCCAGCCCCTTTCGGGCTTCTGCACCCGGATACATCAGAAGGTAGAGCGTGCAGCGGAGGATCGTTAGGCGGAGGTGGAGGGATATTCGTGGCAATCGCGCAGCGACACGGCGGACGTGGAGGGATGAAGGGTAGGTGGGGGGGGAGGAGAGGACGAAGACGAGGCGGAGGAGGGAGCGGGCGAGGAAGCAAGAAGGGAGAGGCAGGAGGCGGTGGAGGACGAGGGGGACGACTTGGGCGAGCAGGGGGGGGAAGTGCGACGAGGCCGTGCCTCGCCCAGGGTCGGGCACAGGCGCAGCCCTCGGTCCAGCCGAGGGCGGGGTGAGGCGGGAGCGATGCCCTGGGAGCGCGGACGCAGGGCAGCTTACAGCCAAGTCGTTGAAGTAATGGAGGAGGACGATTAATAAATGACCGGGGGTCGTGTTCACGCGGCGGCGCCGGGGATGACGATTAGAAGAAATCGGCCGCGGGCTGGAAAACATTTTTGATCGTTCTCCTCCAGTCAGAAAAATACGCAGAAGTAGCAGAAAACTATTTGTTAGTCGTTCTCTCCTATTTTTATTACTCGTCATCCCGCATTAAGGAACAGCTTGGGTCAGAAAGGGGCTCGACATTCCTCAGGTCCTTCTGTGGCTTTTCCTCCAGCCTTCCTCGTGCACGCAGGCGCCTGTGGGGCCAAAAGGGGGCGTCGTTCCTTGTGTATCGTGCCTTCTTTCAGCAGCCCGACTGTACAATGGATCGTTGCCTTGGGAGCGCGGACGCAGCGTAAGTTACAACGGATCCTCGCCCTGGGGGCGCGGACACAGCGTAATTCACAACGGAACGTGTCCTCGGGAGCGCGGACGCAGCGTAGTTCACGAGGGAGCGAGGCCCTGGGAGCGCGGACGCAGCGTAGTTTACGAGGGATCGTGGCCCAGGGAGGCCGGACGCAGAGTAATTTACGATGGATAGTGGCCTTTGGGGGGGCGGACACAGTGTTATCTATTTCGAATCCTGCCCCTGGGAGCGCGGACACTGCGTAATTCACGGGGGAGCGCGACCCTGGGATCGTGGACGCAGCGCAGTTCACGAGTGATCGTGGCCCAGGGAGAGCGGGCGCAGCGTAATTGACGAGGGATCCTCGCCCTGGAGGCGCGAACCCGGCGTAATTTGCAAAGGATCGTGGCCCTGGGAGCGCGGACACTGCGCAATCCACGAGGGTGCGCGGCCCTGGGAGCGCGGACGCAGTGTAGTTTACGTGGGATCGTGGCCCAGGGAGAGCGGACGCAGCGTAGTTTACGATGGATCATGGCCTTGGTGAGAGCGCAGACGCAGAGTGAGTTACGAGGGATCGTGGACCTGGCAGCGCGGACGCAGCGTAAGTTACGATGGATCGTGGCCCTGGGTCAGGGACGTCCCGCGGCACGTTCCCTGACGCGTTCCCTGGCACGTTCCCTGGCGCGTCGCCTGGCATATTTCCTGGCACGTTCTGTGGCGCGTCCCGTGGCGAGTCCCCCTGGCACGTCTCCCGGCGCATCCCAAGGCACGTCCCGTGGCACGTCCATTGACACGTTCCGTAGTGCGTCCCCTTGGCACGATACATCAAGATCGACACATTCAGCTTTGCAACCTGGCACGTTCCGTGGCCCGTCCCGTGGCGAGTCCCCCTGGCACGTCGCGCGAAGCGTCCTTTGGCACGTCCTGTGGCACGTCCACTGGCACGTTCCCTAGCGTGTCCCCTTAGCACGTCCCGCGGTGCGTCCCCATGGCACGTCCCCTGGCACGACCCCTGGCGCGTCCCTTCCGACGTCCCGCGGCGCGTCCCCCTGGCGTGTCACTCTGTCAATTAGCTCTGCGGCAGCTACTATGTGCTCAGGCAGCTCGAGCTTAAGATTCAGATCAGTTCGATCAGGACTCGGATGCAAAGGGGGACTCGATCCTCAACGCTATAGAGCACAATCGCGGCATGGCACATCGCAATTCAGCACCGCGCAGCACAGCACAGCCCTCGGCACGGTGCATCCAGATCGATACACCCAGCACTGCGATTGCCCGTCGCCCAATCGGGTGTCTTGAAAACGCTGCCATGCCTTGCGTTTCTGTATTCCTTTCCCCGGGTGCGTCCCACCAGGTTCTTCCAACATCCGCCTGTAGGAGGACGTGCCCGACCTAAGGGGGAGGGGGAGGAGGGACGCGGGGGGCGCGGGCTCGGGCGCGGGCCCTTCCCCGACGGCGGAGCACGGGGGGTCGCCTCAAACCGCCTTCGACTGGAAGGCCGGTGGAATTCGTGTCGGCCGCCCTGCCCCCCCCCGTGGATTCTCCCTGCCAGAATCAGGGAAACGCAAGACTCGAGTGCGCCGGAACCCGGGTTCGCCCACGTCTTTGACGAGCCCGTCCTGGATTTTGACGGTTCAGTTTTCGTTTGATGTTTGCAGCGGGAGCCCGCGTCAAATTTCAGATTGGGTCGCGTCATTTTCATGATTGCCCCGTCAGGCCAGGCCGAGTCCCCCGTACCCAAGTACGAGGCTAGCTAGCTACCTGCTCACGGGTTTGGACTTGTCGACAGGGGCGCTTGAGGATGAGGGGAGCGACGGGTTCTTTGACCACGGATTCATATGTTTTCGAGTTGCTCCCAACGGAGCGAACCAGGGGTTATACGTAGGTAGGCTCGGAGAGGACCGTCCTCAAGTCTTAGAGGGCCCCATCCCTCGCGTAGGCACTCGTTTCCTTATTCACATGCATGCCATACACATGGTTCATTTCTTATTATTCGAGGTTTCTTTGATTTTTTTGGGGGCCAAGATCCTTTCATTTCTAATTATTCTATCCTGGGCCTCTCCTTGGCCACTAGGGGGCCAGGAACAATTAGAAACAAGCACACTTAGAAATGGGCACGATTAGAAATGAACGACGTGTACGTATGATGCCAGATGCTGGAATGATATGCGTTCGGTGTCATCGACCTGAATTCAGCACCAGCCCCTTCTCTCTGTCTTGTATGTTCAACCTCCTCTTCGTCCGCCAGCTGTTCCTTAGCCAACATCCTGTGATACATTCTGTTCGGTCCATGGATTCCCCTTACCGCGCGTCCACGTGCTATCTGCATTCGGGCGCGCGAGTCTGTGTTTGTCTGCTGACGTACACGCACCCACGCAGGTTCAAGGGCAAGGGGTGGAAGTGGACGCACACCGATGGGCCAAAGAGTATTCATTGGTGGTGGGCCTTCGTTGGCAGCAATGCCGTCTGGGTGGGAGGGGTGTTGTAAACAGACTGCAGAGAGCAGGAGGTATGGAGTCGAAAAGATGACAAGCGCTACAAGGCAGGGGCAGTACGAGTAATCGTGACAGCACCATAACGCACGCACTTAGCTTGCCGTCTTGTGCTTCTTTCTGTGATGGGGTGGGGGGCATATGTTCCAATGGCATGGTGGTGTCCCATCACGTCTCGCGTGGCGCTGTTGTTGTGCAAGTGCTGCCTTTCACGTGCTTCACGATCCCTTCCTGGCTTGTGTATTTCATCATCTGCTGTGTCTGGTTTCTCACCGGACCCCGTAAGAATTTCAACGAGTAAGGAGGGACAGTGGCGCTTCCGTCGGCCCTGGGGCCCAGCGTTTGGTCATCAGACATCAGCTCCATCAGGGCCACCCAGGACTATGGGACCCGACTTGCTTGAACTCCCCCCTGCACTGCTCGCATCTCGGGGTTCTTCCTTAGGTCTCCTGTTGGATGGGATGGGTCAGCAAAGGTGCCGCCCGGTGCCCAGTTGGTGGGCGCCCGTGGGCGCCTCGCTGCGCCGGGTGGGCCAGGCGATGTTTCGCCCGATGCCTGGCCGTTGACGTCTCGTGGGCTCGATGGGTCAGCCGAGGTTTCGCCCGGAGCCCGCCCGTCCCACATCGCAACTTTCCAGCTCCTTTTTGTGCTGCTCGTGTACAAGCCTGGACACCCTGCGCCATCTCCGTCGTCTGCGAACTGCGACCCGATAGTCATAGCCAGTTTGAGAATGCAGGTGTTCCACCGCGTGAGTTGCTCTGTTTGGTCCACGTGTGCCATGGTCCGAGGCTCGTGTCAGTAACCACGTCCGTTTTGAAGACGAAGATGTGGACTGTGTGCCGCTTCCGGTGTCGCTCTCTGTCGTTGCTGTTGTTGTACCAGCATTGTGTCTGTGAGAAGCACTGGGCATGTCATCGCGCTCCGCTGCGTCAGCTGTCCGGCGTCTCGGTGTGTTCAACAGCATACGTAACATTCGGCGCCGAGTCATCCGAATCTGGTTTTCCAAGTCTGCCGTGAGTGTCCATGACGCACACCAATACAACATAGTTGCACCAACAGCATCGTTGAATAAACGCAGCCTGTCGTGTAGAGAATACGCCCGGGTGGCAAGTTCCTGCTTGAACATCCCGAATTGCTTCCACGCCGCTCTGATGCATGCCTCATGTTCTACCTCAGCTTGGCCAGAAAATGTAGAACACCTGGGCTCAACGAAACGCATCGTCGGAGAATTGGGACCAAGCACGGCTGCAGAAGCTCGCAGTCACTCGGGCCTCAGACATCCAGCTGCTCCAAGTTTTTCGATGCGTGAGCCCTGGAGGTCTGGACCGCTCCCCCAGGACCGGCGTTTCGTCCTGAGGCGTTCTGTGCCGCTCCCGAGGCACGGCGAGGGCCCCCGAGGCCGAAAGCGGTCGAAAGCCGCCCGCTCCGAGTTTTGCTGGAGCGTCGGACCTCCGGGTCGCAGGCGCTGGGGCGGGAGGGCCGCGGCGCGCGGGTCGTCGTGCGGCGCCCGGCGCCCAGAGGTGGTCGTGCAGAGGGCCGCGGCCGAGTCTCCGCCGCCCCCCCGCGGGCAGCCGGAGGGCTCGGGGCGGGGCCCGGCGGGTGGGCCCGGGCCTCGCCGAGGGGAGGGGTGACCAACAGGGTAGGGGGGGGCGATGGCATGGCCGGGGCCCTGCCACCTCCCCGGAGCACACGGCACCCTCTTCACGTGTCGCTCGAGGAAGAAGAGGCGCCGTAACCATCGACTTTTGGCGCTCCGCACAGATTCCTTGGATCCGCGCTGGGCCCCCTCTTCTGCGCCTCCGGCGCCGCCTCTGGCGCGCTCCGCGCGCCGGGGAGGGGGGGCCAGCGCGGACACATGGAACCCGCGCGGAGCGCCAAAAGCTTCTGTTCATGCCGTTGTTTCTGCTTCTACCCTCCTGGACCCCCCCCCCCTGGCCGCCCCGTGCTCGCCCCCCCCCCCCCCCCCACACCCTCGCGCAGCGACGGGCAGTCTTTCGCAGTTTGGCCTCCGTCAGGGGTGCGCAGAGGAAGAAGAAGAGGAGGAGGAGCACGAGGAGGAGGAGGAGGAGGACGAGGACGAGGAGGACGAGGACGAGGACGAGGACGAGGACGAGGACGAGGACGAGGACGAGGACGAGGAGGAGGAGGAGGAGGAGGAGGAGGAGGAGCAGGCGCCGCGCGGGGCGCACCCGAGGCGCCCACGGCCAGGGAACGTTTCGAGCGGTGTTCCTCCGACCCCGCCTCTGGCCCTGCCCCCCCCCCCCCCCCCCCGCATACCCCCCCTGTGTGCCTCCCGGCTGTGGGCAGCGCGGAGG